TACATATCTCACACCTAAACATTCATATTTACACATATGGTACTCAAATCCTTAACATCACATAAAAAATACCAGTATTACCACTTTATAGAAGTGAAATACACCTTGTCATGCATAAGTTTAAAGCACCAAAATACTATACATGTAAATATGGAAGTTTAAGTGTGAGATATGTATATTCACAAGAATTGTGTGCTACATATGTAAATTTCTCTTCAGTTTTCAATCAAAACCAACCATGTATGTTCTTGATTCTTTTCTTCATATACAGCGCGACAAGTGTCGACATCGAGGAACACCTGTACAAGCTTGCAAAGGAAATGGGTATAACGGTCATCACATCTTCTCAAGTACGCTCTAATTAGTAAATTAACCCATTCTTTTCAAATACTATAACTTGAACAGCAATTTTTGTTCTGATCTATTTTTTTGCTGTTTTTCCAGCGGCCCGCATTAATTCCATTCCATTCCATGGAACTGAGAATGATTGATGGTGAGGGTAAATGGCAGTTATGTTCCATCATCAGTGAACATTCTTGACTAAATACTATGATTTACACAATCCAAAAGTATTATACCCGATATTGATCAGCAGATAAGCAAATAATGACAAGGCAGCTTCTGCCATCAACTTTGGAATTTTATTCTGGCACCATTTTCAGGAATTATATTTAAATTTTTTTGGAATTTTTTGTGCTGGAAGAAGATCCGAGTCTTGGCATAAATATGGTGGCAATGGACTCGGCTGCAGATTCAGTTTTCAGGTGACTTTGTAAGAAAGCATCAGGACGCTAATGTTTAAATAACTCTGTATACACACTTAGGCATGGTGTATAGATTAGCTAGTTGATTTTTCTATGGTATTATTAGATTACAATCCATTTATATCTATAGAAGAAATAATTTAATTTCATTTATTTTTTCTCTTATATTATTCTAACTCATGTTGTATGGGAGGTTCCCCAACCATATCTATAATGCTATTGTATGTAGGAGGTATTTGCGGAAATTACTGCGGCATTGATCAATAGTTTAGTTCATCATTTGCTGGAAATTGTTC